AGAGAGAGAGAGAGAGAGAGAGAGAGAGAGAATTTAATTTGTTAACGAGATTCACGAAGTTATAATAAAAACTTAACATTTTAAAAATTAATAAAATTTGTAACAATAATAATAAGATCTAATATTAATGAAAAATCTTTGCGATTAAAATATAATAAAAATATGTTAAAATAAAAATTCAAAGACATTAAAATGATTATTTAAAAAGTATTTTATTTGTATTTATGAAATGAACACAAACTAGAATTTAGTGTTAAGTTTCAACGAAAAAATAGATTATTTAGAAAAAACATACAAAAAATAATTCATAATTTATTGCCTTAAATAATACGATATTAATCCTAAATAGCAGATCATAAATATGTTATAATTTTATAATAAAACCCAATTTAACGCCATTAGAGAGTAATTGAGTGCTAAATACCTTACATATTGACTATAAATTATATATTATTACTAAAAATTGTTATTAATTTCAATGTTTTACCATTTATTTATAGACCGGACAATAATTAATGGCAATAAAGTGCGAAAATTTCGTATCCCTTCCTCAGCATTGAAGCCGAAGAAAAATAAATAATTATTACTTCAAAAATACACACATTTATTAACACTGCATACGATTACTAACCAAACCCTACAAATAATTCACATTACTTTTGCCATTAAATCATTACTTGATATATAATTTTGGATATAGTTTATTATTTTCAAATAAAATATTCTGGATTTTAAGTTTATTATTATTATTATTTACATAATTATTAATAAATAAAATGAAAACTAAATACATTACACTATTTAAAGCATGTATTACAAGACTGAATGTCAAATTAATTCAAAAACACAAACTATTGATATAAAACTATTTTGTTTGTATGTAAATTAATTGATTGATTGATATGTGCATGGTAAATTTAATACTAAATAAGTGTATCGCTACCGCTTTCGACGTGTACTTTCATTTTGGACACAAAATCATTCAACTTATCCTTCGCTGAAGACTTGATTTTATCCAACACTTGCTTGTATTGGCTCTCATCGTTGGGCACCGACTGTCGGGCGTATAAACGCAAATGCTCTGCAAAATTGATCCAAACAAACATATAATTACCATAATTTATAATTAAAATTTACAAATTAAACATAAAAATCTGCATAAATTAATGTAAAGTATATATAACAATTGTATAGTACATACCGGTTGAATGATAGCATTCAAATGTGAGCAAAAAACTCTCGTCGACGTAAAGATAGGAAACTTCACTGAATTTATTGTTTGTCACACGAAATATGCGCTTAGAGTTTGGCAAACGTATGTCCGTTATATTACGGACCAAATCATTGCCTTTCCTATTGTAATGACAAAAAACAATTAATTAAATTCATTGTAAGAATTAATTAAATTATTGTTTAAAAGTTGACATTAATTACTGGCTATAAGTTTTGAGATATTTGCCGGCGATTAGCGACACTTGAATGTCAAACACATTGTAGGGATCGGTAGAAAAGCGCAATTCATAGACATTTGATATCTGGTTATCGTATGAAACAAATGAATTGATCGTTAATTATGAGTGCAATTCTGGCCGTACGGGAGAGACAGACCTTTTCAAAGGCAACGGTCGCCAACTCTTCTTCGGTGAACTGAATGCTGCACTTCTTGAGAATCGTATTGGCGTTTGGGTTCTCTTCGTCCTTATAGTTGAGGTCATAGATGAAAGACTCGACTATTTTGCGGGCGTTTGGACGCAATCTGTTCAACAGTATGTCATACAGTGTTATCAAATCAAAGTCGGATTCGCCCTTTTGATGGTCTTTCATAACCACTTCCAGATAGGCTTCGGTTTCCCCGGATATGTGTCCATAGATTTATGTCAATTTATGTTGCGTTTGGATATAGAGTACAGTATACTCACGAGGAGTGGTAGAAGAGTCGGTACTTAACGGCGCGCTAAATGTGATTAAGTAATGGCCGTCGAAATACAGCCGATAGTCGTATAGTTTGATAGGATTTGTGGCGTTTGCGAAGTCTCGCAGACATACTCTCGAGTTACCGATTGTCGACGTCTTGCTGTTGATTGTACTTTGAGAGTGACTGTGAATGCAATTTAAACACAATTAATCCAAACAAAACAATACAATTTATGATCATTTAAACGCACTAATAGTATGTGTCTAACTTAGAGCCGACCACTTTGGCCGTGCATTTCAAATAAAAGTGATCACTTGTGTTGAGTGTTGTGGCCTTTTGAACCCAATTTCCCTGAAGCTGTCCATTAAAATAATGCAAACAATTTAATTAATTAATTGTAAATACAAAGAAAACAACAAATAGTAAATGATTTGATAAATGAAATGATACTTTTGCAAACTCGACGCTATAGAGATCGTCCTCAATAAACACAAAATCCTTATTGGCCACCGGAGCGAATGCTTATGGTATTTAATAGTTTATTAATCATGATCAATTATATAACACAATAAAGATCATGTCATACATTTACAGCCGTTTTGGTCGACTTCGTGAAAGTGGACAGATTTGGTCATATTTCCGGCAATTTTGGTAAAATTTTTCAAATAATCCCTAACATGTGTATTCTTTTCCGCGCCGTATACTGTATACAACTCTAACCACACAATTAACGTTATTATTACTCATTATAAATTGATTTAGCTTAAAAACATACCCTTAATGCTTTGATCGCTGTATGATTTGCACGAATATGTAGTCAGATATTTGTTTTGATCAGTGGTCAAGAAGTATGTGAACGAATTGGTACCGCCCGTGTCTATCAGTTTACTTTTGCCGTCCAATCGGTATTTGCCGACCACTCGATCGCCCGACTCTTGTCTGCGAAACATAATTATGTCATATATTTTATTATCAATTGTTTTCAGCACTCAATCCATACATAGACTCAAAGTCCAGACCATCGCTGGTGTTATTGAAGACAATTCGCTCGCATTTCCTATTCTCGGGGTTTCTGGAGGTCAACAACGGATACCACACTTTGCTTTGCTATCAAATTATTAGTGTATCTCATATATAAAACATTGCATTTTAGTTTACAAACATGGTTTAAAATTGGTGCAAATATACTGGGGCATTTGCTTTGAGTTACCCTGGTCAAGTTACGATTCAACAAGTTTCAGAGGGGCAATAGGGTTGACCTAAAAACAAATGATCTAGGACATTTGCATCAACGTATTATTTACAACAACAGAATCGTTGTCAGTGTTATTGTCATTATTATTGACAGTATTTTCAAAAACCTGTTTAATATTATTAAACTGAAGGGCCGTCTCATCGAAATTATTGCAAGTCTTCGCACAACTAATTGGCGTATAATTAGTGTTAAATATATACACAATAATCGCAATAATCTGTAAATACATATCACTGGATATTTTTGTTGCAAATTTTTTATTTGAATGTCAATTGGATTAATAGTGTGTTTAGATTTATATCGTTATAACAGAGAATCCATTAATGAAATTAATTTGTGTATAGATTTACAAATGTGTGCTAAAAGTTTGATTACTTTTTATACTAATTAATAAGTTTTTAATTAATTAAAATGAGAATTCATATTATATAGCAATTATGTATTTAGAAAAATAGTTTGTTTTTCAGTGAAATACAAAGTAATTGACGATTAAATTAAACAAAGTATAAAAGGATTACAAATATTTGAATTAAATGTTTAAAACTGCTGTAAAATTACAATTAAACAAATGCTAATACAGTACTAACAATGAGATTACACATTAATCAAAATTAATGGAATTAAAGACAAATATAGTTAAATATTGTAATAATTGTAATAATTATTGAGACGAATGCAAACATTATTCCTCAGAATGTCCACAACTGTCTTCGAGTCGAAGCCATCTAAGAAAAGGGCTCCCAATTGAATGCCACGGATTTGTGTCAGTCTTGACAATGCATTCAACACGTCATCCGTTATAACCACTCGACTGAGTTCCAGATCCACGAGTTGTGGCCAATTGTGCTCAATATTAACGAAGAAAGTGTCGGAAATGAAAACACCAATTGATAGCTTAAAATGTGTCAATCGTTTCAATTCATTCAATGAATCGCTTGTTATGGCCGACAGATTAACCATTAGTCCGTCTCTTACTGTCATTTCCAATCGCTTTAGTTGTTTGAAGTTTGTGTTAATTGTTTGCAATATTTCTTTCATTTGTTCCGACAAAATCACGTCAATATATAGACTCTTGAGTTGCGGACATTTGGGACCAAATCGTGACAATAGTTGCGGATAATATGTGTCGTTATATTTGTATACATATAATGCAATCAATGCCGGCATTTGTGACAAACTATCCGTTAGTTTGTGGACGAAATTCGCGTCGATTTCAATGCTAAACACGAATCCAATTGTCTTAATATTGTGGCCGTAATTGCTAGCAAACCATTCAAATGCCATCAATTGGTTGTCAAGCGATTCATTGGATTCATTCCACTCTAAAACAATGTGTTTGAGTTGTTTGTAATGCAAACCATTGTCGGCATTCAAACTGACACTCATTTTCGACAACTCGTCAAACGATATGTCAATTGAACTCAAATTAACGCACATTTTAAGCCATTTATGTTTCATATCAATCATCGCTTTGTCCTCGAAATCAAATGAAATGTATTTCATTTGTTTCGCAAACTTTGCCATAAACTCATCGATTGATTGGATGTTGTCTTCGGACACTTCAAAGTAAATGGCATTCAATTGATTGCAATATTTCATCAGTAAATCAACGAATCGTTTGGTTTTAAAGACTTCCTCTTCATCTTCGCAATAAACACGTGTAATGTTTGGACACTTCTTCAGTATTGTCTCAATTGTGGCTAAATTGGTGGTCAAAAAAATCTCCAAATTCACGTCCTCTTCAGACATTATAATGTGGTCGATGTTTACCACCGATTGTCTCTTATGTATGACTCGTTGCCACTGTTTGGACACCAATTCATATCTGAATTTGTCTTCAAATGGCAGATAAGACAACAACTCTTCGCACAAATCGTCACCAAATCTATCGAAAGAGTCTTTACTATAGTTTTCAGCCATTATTTGACACAAAAGTAATTAAAACTCAATTCAAAGTGAATTAAAATTCAATCAAAACTCAATGAATGACTGAAAACACGTGTTTTGTAGTCAACACTCAATTCAATGAGAGTTTCAGTTATTTGACGTGAATTTCAAATCATTTGCAAAAACTTATTCAATACTTATGTCACGAGTTGTCCACAAATTATGCATTCATTAAAACAAACAGTTTATTGAATGCGAAAAAAGTTGTGCAAAAACTTTGACACAAAAATATTTGACAACAAAAGGGGAACTCATTTGTGGGCCAAAAGCGGACGTTATTTATGTCACTTAAAAGGCATTTCACATGTGATCGCAAACCCAAACACAACAACAAAACAGTTGTTTATATCAAATGAAATGCAATGAAAACGTGATTAACCACTAAATCAAGCGCCAGATTATCTCACGGATCACTCTTGGGATCAGTTGACAAGTCATTATCATCGCAGTGGCCGACGATGTGGTGGTTTCGATGGCATTCGCGGCGTTTCTTTCGGTCAGTGATGCGGCCGATGAACGAAGAGAGGGCCCGATTGTGGACCAATCGGATGCGCTTCCTCTACATCTTCTGCGGCTTCAACGCAATGGTTCTCACCGTTAAGTTTCACATGAAGAACAAGGAGTCGCTCGTAGACCAGGGCCTCACCGCCCGCGACGATACGCCCACTCACACCACCGCTCGTCTGATGCAAGTCCAGGACCTGAAGATATATCGCTCGGGTATCGGCCGACCGACTGAGACATACACTGTCGATGTGGAGGAATATCGCAATCGCGTGGAAAGTGAGCGCAAAGAACGCCGACGAGAGTATCTCCAGAAAGAGCGAGAGCTGGAGGCCAGTGGTGGTGATGTTGGCGCCGATACGGAACAGCTCAGTGATGATCACAATATAGCCGTTTGAGTGTTGAGTTTTGTGGCCACCGTTACGATGACTATCACTCGTGTGTGTCTTTGTCTTAAGATTTTTAATTAGCGATCGTTTAGTCAATTAATTGTGTTTTTGATTGTTTTCTCATAGATTTTGTAAATAATATATAGTTTTGAAATAAATTTAGTTTTAATATGTGATTGCGTTTTCATTGTAATTATTTTATAGTTATATTGAGTTATTAAAACATGTCTGTAATTAATTACTACCGTAATTAATAATTAGTGATTTATAAAACAATATTTTTAGAGAGAGCCTATTATACTCAAAATGTTAAGTTTTTAATTTATTTGTTATAATTTATAATTATTTTGTATAATTAAAGAAATAATAAGTAAAATAGAAACGAAATTAAAATATATTTTGGAAAATATAACACAATTTGTAAATTATGTTTAAATTATACGTTAATTTGCGAAAATGTTGTAATGAATAGTGAGTATTGAGTACTAGAGATGGTGTGCGAGTGTTATGTCTAGTGCTTTGCCATTGAATTCAATGGTTTGTAAGTTTCAATTGAATTGAACATCAAATTAGATGCAAATCAGTGGTCAATGTCTGCAAAAACTGGACACTCTTTTGAACCAATTATGTAAAAAATTATGTTTTATTTCACAATCAAAACGGAAATAATTGAAATTATAATCAAAACTAATATTTAAATATAAACACCAAAAGGATGTTTCATTGTTTGCAAGAATTTGTTTGTTTAAAAATAAGTTTGAAGTTTTGTATAACTTTTTCATTGCAAACATTTTGCTGTAATTATGAGATATATTAAAAAAAATATATTTATTATATAAACTATTGATTTAGAAAATACAATAATATGTTGAATAATAAATTGGATATTTGTTTAAAAAACAGAGTTATTTCTAAGACAAGAAATGTTTAAAATATTTTTGCACAAACTTTTGTACAACAATTTGTTTGAAATGAAATCAAAAGCGATTTGAATTTAACACATATTTTTAGATAATATAAATCATTTATAAATTTTCAATTGAGATTTACATTAAAATTCTAATAAATCATAAATTCATACATTATTTTATTCTAAAATGAAATTCTTTATTCAAATATGTGTTTTACATATGCTTTATATGAATTCAATGTAAGTAATAATTTAAGACATTTTTAAAATACATAATAAAATATTGATTGATAGAGAATGGGAATATCCAAAATTACCCGACATCTGGGGTAATGAGGCCACAACTGTGTCCAATAACTCTACTAATTTGACAAACAATAAGACAACAGATGATACGTCAACCACTACTGAACCCATATATGAAACCGATTATTTAACACGGGATTCAACACAACAATCAACGCAAACAAAATGGACATTTGCTTCCTCAACAACTGTTAAATACCTGATCCAACCGACGGCTACGACAACAACACCGACCACTACAATAACGACCCCTATTAATGGAATTATTGACACAACTAATATCATAAGTAAGTTTTACAACAATTAATATTATTATTAAAATCATATTCATATAAATAGCAGAAAAAAGTATTATCGATATTAAAGATGATGATGATGTAGATATCAATGGATGTGCTGTTTATGACTCGTTTCCCGAATTAAAGACATTGTTTGAAAATAAATTATACAGTGATATAAATCTAGTTATAAATGAGCGCATAATTAAATCACATCAAATAATTTTGTCGCTCAAAAGTCCGGTATTTGCTAAACTAATAGAGACGGCAATTGATAATTATACAAGTGATATAATTATTGCGAACAGTAGTTATAACTCGTTTAAGCAATTTATTAAATTTTTCTACACCGAAAAGTTTATTATAACAAACAAAACAAAAATTGAATTCATTAAAGATATCTATGAATTGGCAAAAGAGTATAAAGTGTTACGACTCGTAAAGATAATTGAGAAGAATTTTGCCAAAGCATTGACTGTCAATAATTTGGCACAAATTTTTCAATTCATTTATCCAAATATGAGAGGACTTGAATCCATAGACTTGTGGCGAGAATTTGTCCAAAACAATACCGAAGAGATATACTCTCGGAAACTATATTTAGGCC